ATAGATCCCGATAAACCTAGCCATTCTAGCAAAATGAATTTTAACGAAAATAATTAATTTCAAGCAACCACATCTTTTGATAAATTTAAGTAGAGCAAGAAATACACCTAGCTGACGAGTCCCAAATAGGACGAAACGTGTGTCCTGGATTCCACTGCTAGCCGCTATCCATCTTTGATTAAAAACGCTTGTGAATTAAAGCTATATTCAGGCAATCCGCACAGGATGCACATATGCTAACAAGAAATTGATCAATTTCAGTCCTAAATAACAATGGGAAGATGCAAATAAAACACCAGAAAATTTAAGAAAAACAAGTTCTACAGAATAAAATGAATTCTTAAAGGGAGCAAGAACGAAGATTGATGCAGACAAATGCAATGAAATTTATCTCAATTTCAATAGCTTTTATCCAATCTTACTCTGGATAGTAAGCAGATTATAATAAATGATTCATTATATATATTCATTCTTTGATCATCCTTTCTACAGTATTCAAAAGTATCAATGCGATGTTCCTAGAATCATAAGGAAGTAAATTCTCTTTAATGCTTTAAAGAATTCTAGTCCAATATGTTTGATGATATTGAGGAACTTGACGATTATAGAAAATCTAATCAATAAAAGTTGGGGCGAGATTACAATTTATGGACAAAATAATCAGATAGAACATAGCGAGTCTTGAATTTTGACGCGAAATTCACCCATACATTTGGCTAAGTTGCTTTTTGACAGTATATCTGATGTCGATTTGTGGTGAAAACCCTCAGTCAGATTTCTAACCCTAACCATCAACTTTAAAACACAATTCTAATTCCTCACACAGATTTATAACTTTCATTAGACCCTATCAAGTAGGTGGGCATTTTCTAGATCACATTAGCGTCTCTTAAAGGTTGTCCATACATTATAGTCTCACCGAATTTGGACATAAACCGATATTAAACATTATGTCAATTTCAATAGTTGAGATCATGAGTCAATTGAAGCTAGACCACCATGAAAAACCTGGTGGTACCGGACGACCGATTCGTCCTACTGCGGGACTCCTCAACAGTGCGCATTCACGACCCCGCCCCTCGGGATTCGAATCCAGAATCTACTAGTCTCGCGCACGAGCAGTTAACCACTAGACCACTGAGTCGGTATCGAATTAGTGACTGGCTTCAAGATGTATATCCTGGAGTTCTAGTGAGAAGTAGTGACATGTGGAGTTCAACCAGGCCAGTTGTGACATAGAAACTCACTGAAGACAATGGTGGATGTGTCGCTCAATTTCATGGATTAGTTGAAGTTAGACATTAACACCGTTGGATGTCGGCCGTCTCAATGGGCTAGAGGTGAAGCCTTCACGCGCGAGAATGATAGGTCTTGAGTTTGAATCTGGCGAGATGGGATCGTTGATGTGCACTGTTGAGAAGTCTCACAGTAAGACGAAACGGCCATCCAGTGCTACCAGGTTTTCCATGATTGTTTAGCTTCAATTGACTCCTGATCTCAACTATTGAAATTACTAAAATCTCCACAAAGCCCCTTCTGATACATTATGTCAATGTTAACTAACTGATCATAAATTGATTTCAATCAATGTAATTCGATATCAAATTATGTAATCAATTTTTTGTTGTTGTCTACTTAGTTGATATCATGAATTTGTAAATGAACTCCGGTATCAATTACATGAATCACTGATTTGATAATGGAGTCTAAAAAATGAAGATTGCATAGCGTCTCACCATATAGGGTATGACAATAAAAAAGCTAATTGAATGTTCATTAATTTATAGATTATTGTTGAATTCTTAAATATGAAATACTCATAGATAATTTGTTTTTAATCTCGTTAAATTGTTTGAACAAGTCAATACGTTTCATCAACTCTGTAGAGTTTATAGAAGATGAAACTTTGACACAAACTTGAAATAATCATCTAGATTAGATGGTGGTTGGAGGTAGTCGACAGGAAACCATGGACCCGGGTTTCGTGCTACTTGGCACTTGTCAGCAAGGTGTACCTGTAATTTTGAGGGGTCTGGTGCTCCCCGACGGATTCGATTCCGTGTCACCCAGCTTCACAGTCAGAGACGTTACCACTGAGCTATCCGAGCCGCGACCGACCTCCTGTTGATAGCATTCGATCTGCACTAATGAGGACTAGACACGCATGACATTGATCTTCACCCAGTGATCAATCAATTGTGAATAATCATCTACATTTTATCAAAATGTGTTACATATAATTTAGGCTAGATGTTTGTTTGAATAGTATAAAGAATAGCAGTCTACTTTTTTATGAACTGTGACCTTCGACGTTAGGTGGTATACATAAGTTATAAATATTCGATTATATATGTTTTCAAAAGACAACTGACTGAATAATAATAAAATACAATGTAGGGAATTAGAGGAAACTCACAAATCAGATAACAAATCTGTGAATGTTCATGGCTTGAGGTGGCTGATATAAAAGTCACATATTCATAACCACTGCAGATTAATAGCATACAATGTTGGTTAGTGTAAAGTTAGACGAATGTTAAGGATAGTCAAACTGAATTGTAGAATCATTACATTGAATGATTATTAGTTTGATAGTGTCTTTTGTATACATATTCCATGTTTCGTGTCTAAATAACAATCTTGGTCGATGATTGGATACATTAGATAACATGGTTCACAAATGGTCACAGTGATAAAGAAGTATTACTTCTTTATCTAACCGAAGTTTTCGAGTTAAAATATTGTTCCACGTTTTTACCTCACTAATTCGCTTATTTTCTTCAAACCAATTTCATTTTGTTAATTGTTTTACCTTAAAATACTTAGTTATTCATACTAATAGGTTATTTCCCAATATGGTGAATTAGTACAACAGCTTAAACTGGTCCCCATTCTTTGTCAGTTTTGCATTCTTGGTCTATCTAACCATTAGTCTGTGCTGAATAAGAAAAGAAAGGAGTTGTCTTTATCTAGTTTAAGGACTTGATGTGATAGGTTACTTAGCACAAGCTTGAGATTTGCAACTTATGAATTTGATTATTGACTGAATGGCGTCGAGAAGGAAAGGGAAGAAAACTATCCTACTTTGATCAATGTCCTGATTGGCTGGGAAACGAAGAGAGAAGCAAATTTATCTGGAACTGTGTATCCGATTAATTCTTGACTCAACTAATTCAAAAAGGTATATGAATTAATATATATGGGGTTGACATGATCAAAGCGATAAAGAAATGAGGAAAATACAATTTTATCGAAACTAGGAAATCAGAGCAGAAAAATCGGAATACAAGGATCATGTTTTCTTGTCTGATATATTGTTTACGTTTGACCAGAAGTAAGCTAACTTTAATTGCTATATACTTTACGTCATCTAGAGCCCAAAATAAAGTTCCTGAGCCTCAACCTTCTATTAATAAGACTCTATCATCTCATAGAATACAAACTATTGCCATGAATGAGCTACATACTTCAAGCAATATTGATAATAATTTATCTTAAAGCTTCATTGGTTCGTCTCCTGTTTGTTATGTAGTTTTCAACTAAACCACAGTGTCACTGCCATATCCCTTTACATTAAGAAATGGAGATTTTCATTCATGATTGTTAAGTAAAATCAGTGATGTAGAATTAGGAGCTTATGTATTTTTACATAAGTATTTCTGTCGTTCTTTAAAAGTTCCTCGTTTATTTCGTATACAAACTGCATAAATCTAACTTAGAGATGTCGAATAACTTAAATTCTGAGAATAAACACGAAATATCTGGCTGATGAGATCCATGTTAATGTACGTGGTTGAAATTAAGTAAACCAGCTACAGAACCTCCAGATCTCACAATCTACAGAACAGTTTATAATGACTTCGTTAGAATCTGAAATTTCACATTTTGAAATTCAGTTAATTTCTAAGATAACGCAGACATAAATTAATAAATTCAAATCTAGCATTTGGAAATGGAGTTAACGATCTCATTCCATAGAGAATTAACTCGTTAAAAAAAAACAAACACAACGCTAACCAGAAAAATAATTCATTTGTTAATTTAAATAGTGTAATTCATTTTACATTATCTTAAATAGATAATAATAATAATAATAATAATCTCCATGTTTACTATTACCCTTTTAGAAATATATTCGATTCAATTTTTATTTAATTATTTTATAATTATTCAATAACAGCAACAACAACAAAAAAGTTAAACATTGATATACCTTTGTTACCAGGAGCAACCAACAATCAATGTACACATACATACATACATACATACATACATACATACATACATACATACACATACATACATACAGAAATACATACATACAAAATATACATTTACCTTTTCAACTATGTATTTGAATAATTAACATGAAATGTAATAAATTTCTAAGGAAACAAATAACCTAACGATTCACTTAGAAATTACTAACAGAAATCTTAATCTTAATATTCAAATGATTTAAACATTCACTAGAGTATAACACTAACAAACAAACAAACAATAACAATATTCAATAAACTTATATCATTTGAATTTATCAATCTATTTTTACTTAGGGACTATTGTCAAGGTTACATGAACCTATTCAAATGACCCTAACAAATGACCTTGTTTATTCATGACACATTATTATTTATTAGTTTAAATAAACACAAAACAAAACAATAGAAACATATGTACATGAATAGAGGAAAGTTTTCTAATTCGTTCAAGGTAATATATATATATATATTACTATGATAATGATTGCTTAATTAAAGATTTCTGTAAAAGTACTACAACAATTACTTAGTAACAAGAAATATATAATACACAAAGTGTAATTAAGATCAAATTGTACATTTAATATTGATCGCCTGTGATATTCATTCACTTTTTTTTCTGAACATTGAACCCACATATTACCCATACCCATACCCATACACATACATACATACACAAATACATACACATAGATAGACATACATAAGTTAATTGTTCTTCATTATTAAATAAAGAAAATGGGATGTGGTGCAAGTGGATTGAAAGATTGTAAATCAGGTAAATTTTAATTATATTTAATGATCATTATTGTTTTTTTTTTTTTTGTTTTTTTGTCTTGGATTCTTTTCAAAAGTACATTTACTTAGATTTTACATTGACTGTATTCTATTTACTTAATTAGAAATTAATGAAGTTTAACTATAATTGGTTGAAGTTAGACATTAACTTAGCGAACGGTACTGAGTTCGAGTCTCAGAGTGAACATCAACTCTGAGATGCAGGTACATCCAGCTGACGAGTCCCAAATAGGACGAAACGTGCATTCTGTATTCCACTGCTAGCCACTATCCATCTTTGCTTATAATGCTTGTAAATTAAGGCACTATCGAGGCATACGCACAGTATGCACATATGCCAATAAGAGACTGATCAGTTTCAGTCCTAAAGCATCAATGGGAAGATTCAAGTATAACAATATCAAGTGAATTAACATAGTTGGATGATAGCCAGCCCAGTCGTTTAGAGGTTAAGCGTTTACTCAAGAGACTGATAGGTCTTGGGTTCGAATCTTGTGAAGCGGGATCGTGGATGTGTACAGTTGAGGAGTCCTATATTAGGATGAAACGGTAGTCCAGTGCTTCTAGGTTTTATATGATAGTCTAGTTTCAATGGACTCATGAATTCAATTATTAACTTACTATAATTAAATTGCTTTTTATTAACTCTGAATACGATTGATGATACTTTTGTATAGTTATTAGTTAGCTACAGTGTAGGATCAGGCACATATATGCATTAGTCCAATTTGTCATACCTCATTAGCACAAGAAGATGAACAATGAATTCATAGAAGTAGTTACTTCAATGGTGGTAAGATATAAAAGAAAGATTGTGTATAAGGATATAGTACAGGAAGAAAGAATTAATTCGCAGAAAGAAAGTTATAAAGCAATTTTAATCTCTTCGTTTAAGGGAACACAAAGTGTGTATACACCGACGCCATTGTGGTTGATTCTGAGACATGTCACCCACAGTCTCCAACCATTGGTTAGGACAGTCGTGCCGACCCCAACCGAGTAGTCCATATTTAACAACATGGCTTAGACTGGATGCCACGTCTTGGTTTGGCCGCCCTTAACTTTCTTCCAATCGTCTCCAACAGTAGTCAGCATTGTGCGTTGTGGTAATTGCAGTTCAAGCATACGTAACACGTGACTCAACCATCTCAGTCGATGGAAATTCACAACCTCATGAACTGATTTACCATCATTCGGTAATACCCTGCGTCTAACCTCACTCTTACTTACACGGTGATCCCAGCAGATGCGAGCAATATTTCTAAAACTCTAGTGTAGATATAATTGTTTGAACAAACCTTGTGCATATATACATAGTCTAATCATTAAATAAATGATATCTATTGTGTACCCAAAATGAATATATTCTGAAAGAATATACAGTGAACTTTGTCTTTCATTTGAGGTCTTTCAGATTCTTAACAAGTAGCTTATGAGAGTAAGAGATGATTATTGAATTACGGAAATATACATGTATATTCAGTGATAATTTTCTACGAGTTTTTTGAGATCAATTTGATCACCGTGTTACATTATCCTTTGCATTCTAAATGTATAAAACTATAAAGCAGCTAAGAAACTTAATATAACAGAACTTGTAAAAATAATTAAACAGTCATAAAGGAATTGAACATGTCCATTACCATAAATGAGAAGTATTTTAAAGGTGATAGTTTTAATGTACTGTTAAATTTATAAACTGAAGTTTTATTGAACTGAGTTAATATCTTCTCGATCAGACTACGTTCATCCGTCAGTCAGTAACAACGTAGAACTTCGTACGTACGTACATCAGTTCGAGTTGCCACACCACATTAGCACAGAGATGCAGTTGTTGACTCGAATTCCGTAGTGGTAAAGGTAGTAATAGTATAAGCAGTAATCGGAAAGATCAGGGTTTGAAGATGTTATTCAAGGAGTATATTATAGTGAAATAAATTTGGAAAGAAAATAAGGGACATGAAGAATTCAGAAGATTAGAACGTGGGAGAGCACAAAGAGTGGATGCACTTGCGCTATTGCAAACGATTTTGAGTCATGTCATTCAGGGTCTCTTACCATCCGTTGCTACCATCTCGCGGTCCCCAACCAGGTAGTCTACACCTACCAACATGGCTCATTCCACTTGTCAGCGACCTCATAGACTTGTGCCATGTTTTGGTCTGGCCGCCCCTAGCTGTCTTCCAACCTACTCCTACACCGTAAAACATAGCACGTCTAGGCAGTCGGTGGTCGGGCATATGTAACACGTTCATCATGGAACTAGAATTAATTCATTCTGAAGTAAGATGTTATACAACGCTTTCATAATGTTCCATATATGCATATATAATGGATCACTAAAGTAGATGATCTGAATCGAATGATTAAGGTCCTACTCAAATTAGACGGGATTTGTGTGACCAATAAGTTAATGTCGAACTTACACCTCACAGTTAGTACCTAACGTAGATTACCCTTTCGTTGTATCCAAGTGTACTATTTCTGCTTTGATGACCGTACAACACAAACAACGTTATTACCCGACTGCTGGATTATTTGATTAGGGCCCATTGACATTTCACTGACTCTACATATATATCTCATTATTTTGTGTGTTGGTGAGCTCGTAAATTTTGCTGAACACGGATAGCATGAATTTACCTCAGCAATCAGACAGTTGAAAGGAAATTTGAAATTCTTAATATATAACAACTTTAAACAGTCTCTTCTTCAAATTCAATAATCATTAAAACAACGATATTAATAAAACAGGTTCTTGATCTTAGTTATCTTAATCCATTTACATACTCATCCATATCTTTTAGAAATTACCTAATCTTTCATTGTTATGGTTTACACAATATAACCTAGTATTATAATCTTTGTGTGACATTTCTAGTCGTTATTATTTTGTCGTTAAAAGAAGAGTGTAGGTCAATCGGTGAGTAAATTCTACAACGCGTTAATTCTGATTCAAGTTGCCAAATCGTGATTATTACCCTCAGTCATCTGCTTGTTCAAACCACTTGACAATAGGTGAGCATGACTGAAAAACTGACATTCTATTTTAAATTAAAAATTCAAGTGTGAACTGTGATGAATGTAACGCGGTCATGATCCAAACCACTTTTGCCATTTTTTAATCATCGTCCTTTATCAATATATAACCTGCTTTCGATATTTGAAGTTTCTTATCACGGGTTAACTTTGATTAAACAATGGGTGAAGAACAGGAAGGGCTGGACAGCTGTTCTGTTCAAGTATGTGACTTAACAGAATAGCACGTCCACGTCATCATTAGGGATCGAATCCAGGACCTTTAGGTCTCGTAATATTTCGATAAGTGAAATTTTCAAACAGTTTAAAATAATAAAGCAATCATACCCTATTTTGCCTAGTTAACAATCATATCTATTATAAATAACTATCAAGTAAACCTTAAAGTCCAGGTCATAGATATTGTCAAACATGGAATTACTTTGTTTACTAAACTATCTCTATCTTCTTCAACAAAAAGAAATTTACTATAGACAAAACTAGGAAATAATTTTATACTTGAATAGTTTATAAGCAAGTTAACTATCAAGTTGGTTTATAGAAGCCATCTCCATAAAGCACTTAGAACCTGACCTATGTAAATGTTCAACTAAGAGTGCTAAGTAAAAAAAAGCACATCATTTGGTCAGGTAGTGAATCTTCATAGACTGAAGTAGTTGAAGTGTGTGCGATGCATCCTGAGCTACCGTCTACCTCGACATGTAATATTTTCTGATATGAAATCAGCTTATGATGGCCAAATAAAGACATGGCTTTTGTACATGATGTCACTGTCTAGTGAACTGGAACGCGTACGCAGATGCATGCAACGTGGTCGAAGTCCTTCCAATTATCGTCACCACTGACTGGAGATTTTTGTTGATATAGATGATAGTGACAATAGTATAAGCTAATTCACCTCTTGTTATCCCTTAGAACCTGTGTTTTGAAATTGTTTTATATATCCCATTTCATGGATTCTCTTTTTCCAAATCATATTTTCTATGTTTTATAATACTACTGATACTATTACGACTTGTACTAAAGTTGCATTCACTTTGATGATTTCATCTTGTTGTGCTGGTGTAGTATGATAATTTGAATCGACACATGTATTTGGTTTTCTGTTACTTATGATTGACTGATTAACACATCAACTGTATCTAAAACTTATCTTTGAAATGGTGGTGTAATTCCTCATATTATATCATCTATTTTCAAACTATCAATTGTTGTTTACTAATCTCGTTAATCCTATTTCAAATATGTATTTTAAACTGAATAATTATAATTGGAGACAATGTAAAATGAATTTTGAATTATCAGTTTAAGGGTTGTGGAGATTGTTAAGTTTTCGATTGGGATCATGGACCGATTGATGTTAGACCACCATTGAAAACCTGGAAGCACCGGACGGCCGTTTCGTCCTATTGTGGGACTCCTCAGTAGTGCACATCCACGATCCCGCTCGTGGAACTCGAACCCAGGGCCTTCTATCTCGTGCGCAAACGCTTAACCTACTGGACCACTGAGCCGACATGGAATAGTGTTAAAATCTGACCTCAACCAATCCACGAAATTGCACGACCATCTTCCATTGTACTGAGGTAGACACCTGTTTCTACCCAACACGGACTAGCTCCGCTGGTCACCGCTTCTGACTGGAACTTCGAGAATTTTCTCACGGAGCTACTCACTAGTGAGCACATGGTAATTATTAGTATATGGGTTGTAGAGGTCGTTAAGTTTTTGATTGAGATCATGAAAAGATTGATGTTAGACCACCATTGAAAACCTGGAAGCACTGGACGGCTGTTACGTTCTAGTATGAAACTCCTCAGTAGTGAGCATCCATGATCCGGCTCACAGGATTCGAACCTAGGTTAAGCATTTGCGCGTGAGACCAAAGCTACTGGTTTCAAACCTCTCATGCGAGATCGTGGAACCGAAAATTTTCTTCTTCATTCTCAATTGAATAAATTTTATTTTATTTTTTTCATACAAGTTGGCCGGATTTCACAAATTGACAAAATCGATTATTATTATTTGGCTTAAAAATCATTTAAAATAGAATTCGTACATTGATTATGGTGACTTTTATGAAAATGTCCGAAAGAGAACATTTAGGTTATATGATTGATTAATGTATTGTGAATGTTGAGTTTGTTTGTTTGGTTTTTAGTTAAAGGGACTGTGAAGTTAAATTTTAGTAGGAAACTATTCAAATGATTTCATGTATTCGATTATAAGAATATCAGTTAAAAACTAACTAATTGTTTAAGCAAAGATGGATAGTGGGTAGTAGTGGAATCTAGGAAGCGTGTTTCGTCCTATATTGAACTCGTCAGTTGAGTTGATGTTCATTTTGGGACTCTAATTGTTTTCTGAATAACTTACTGATTATTGTAAGAGTAAAGTGTCCAGTCTTTTTTTAAAAGACTGAATGAGTATAATAGAATGTTACATATGCCTTATAAAGAAATAAGTAGTAAGTATATTGTTAAAATGGCTTGATAATTGAAATTCGAATCTAGCTAAAGCAAAAACAATAAATGTAAATTTTCAATATATGAATTCATTATATTTTGCGGTTTCTCATCAGCTGCTTATAACCCCTAAACATTAGAAATCAGCTTACATCCTTTATATGACAACATTGAAATGTTCTAATCAATGAAGATTCATGAACAAAGCAATAGAATTGTAAGAACTATAGAAGATATTTGTATGCTAATCAATGTGGATATTTATAGGTTAAATATAAGAATATCCTAGAATAGAAACAGAACATAACATTTTGATGAAGTTTTGTTTTTTTGAGTTAGATGGTTTAGTCTTGGAGCTTTCATTGGTCTTCTGAAGGACATTATCAGCACAAACTTCAGAACATAAATACATTAAGTTGATTTCAATAGCTTCTATCCAATAAACTACTAAAGAATCTTGGTTTAAATGTTATTTTCAGTCGTGTCATAAAATTATAATCAATTAATCAAAGTTGAACTCTATGAGAAGACTAAAATGAAGGTAATAGAATATACTATGGTTGAGAAGAAGCCTGTCTTCTTAAGACTTATATTTTAAGAGTAATGAAATAGCTGGAAAGATTAATTTGAAACTAATAGTAAGGATGTATTCAGCTATTAGGCAAATCTATATACATCAAATGCACTGTTGATTATGACAGTCATATGTGGAAAAATTCCCACCTTATATAGAAGAACAATACAGAACTAGTACTTTTTGTCTTATCCAGGACTTGACAATTGTATGTGCCTAGATCTATATTGATGTTCGAACAGGAGTTTGAACCCTGCTACTGAATATAGTAATTAACATTTTCACATGTGACCTTCATGAATAGATCCCAACGACAAAAATAAACTGTTACCTACTTAAGCCTGTTACTCCTCGTGGAGGAGCATAGGCCGCCCACCAGCACTTTCCATCCAACCTTGTCCTGAACAATTTTTCCAGAACTTTCCAGTTGTTATTCATACTTTTCATACTTTTCTATTTCCTGAAGTCATGTGTTTTTTTACCTTCTTCTTTTCCGCTTCCCTTCACGATTCCAAGTTAGGGCGTACCTCGTGATGCAGTTTGTTGCTTTCCGTAATGTATTTGCTATCCACTTCCAACGTCTTTTCTTGATTTCCTCTTCAGCTGGAAGCTGATTCGCTCTCTCCCACAGTAGGCTATTGTTGATAGTATCCGGCCAATGGCTGTTGAGTATCTTGCGTAGACAACTCTTTATAAATACTTGTACCATCTTGATGATGGTTGTAGTAGTTCTCCACGTTTCAGCTCCATACAGTCTAAATCCAATCAATATCTTCTAGAAATTTAATAATGCATTAACATAAGAATTAAATTTCTTTATATGTGATATCATTTCTCTTTATTATTGAATAGAAGTAGCCGAATCGACAAATGATGATCATGCTGATAATACAGAAATAGAAACTGAAGAAAACAAAGAAACAAACACTAATCATATAGTTCCTGTATTATCAAGTAAACAATTGGATCTTCCATCAAATAATAGTCAACATGATGAACCCAAAGAAGAAATTCCATACAATCAAGAAACGCCAGACGTTTCAGCGATTACCGAGCAACAACCAGATTTAACAAATGATGTGAATGTAAGCACACAGTTTTTTAGAAAATAAAGAACACTTGAATTTTAGCACACAAAAGAAATTAATTTACACCATATATCTCCGATTTATTGTTAATATTAGATATGAATAGGTTAATCAATTAGGTATCATATTTGTTATTTTAGACTACATAGCAACCGATGGTTGGAGACCTTGAATGACATGATTTAAAACCGTTTGCAATCGCGCAGGTACATCCCACACTTTGTGTTCTCCCAAAATCTAATCTTCTAAATTCTTCATGTCCTATTTTCTTTCTCTTTCCAAATTTCTTCAAACCATGATCTTTCCGATTAATGCTTATACTTTTACTATCTTTACCATTATGAGATTTGAAGCGACAATTGTATCTCTGTTCTAATGTGGTACAGCAGCTCGAACTGATTTACGTATGTACGAAGTTCTACGTTGTTGCTGACTGATTGACTAATATAGTTCATCAATTCAAAGAATGTTTTATCAGTGATATAGTTACAGTTTATATTACGGACTGAATTCAATCAGAAAGAATATTGAAAAACGGAGATTAATGAATGACTATTTTGTTCTATTATAGGACTTCTTGGAAGTGTCTCCACACGACCCCAGTATAAATTGAACCCATAGACGTTTAGACTAATAATGAGCATTCAAAATTTAAAAAATTAAGCCCAATATTCAGTAGTTTTAATCTCTAGCTTCAGTCGAGTTGTAATGTCGTGTGAAAATCATCCCAAGTTTAGTGATTACTGTCACTAATCCTTCATATGATAAACAAGAGACAACGCTGCTAATTTACTAATGTGAATTGTTTTGTTACCATTAATGAATAAATTTTGTAAATGGATACCTTAATAACTCATATAGTTATACCATGAATGACATTCAATAGTGCTTATTATGTATGATCTAAGAGCCGTTTTTCACTTGATTTGATCGGGTCATTATACCATAGCTGGGTCATATTATATTACTCTTATTATTCAGTTTAGGATATAACATCTATTGTAATCTAGTATTTCAGTAAATAATTCCTAATTGCCTTAAAGAAATTTAAATTGAACCTTACTAGTAATGAGAATCTTGACCCTCTCACATGCGGGACATAGTATATAGACGATGGGTTGTAATCATTTGATTCATAAATATGTTAAGAGAAACATTTTCTAGAATGACTTATGATTTCCCATCAAAAATACTTTATAGTTTACTACATGAACAGACATTAGTTGGACAATTCATAAAAACCTACCCTTGACATTAAAGATATTTGAGAATTGACGTGAATTAATTGAAGTTCAATATATATAAAGTATTGGATATCAACTTAGTGTTTTATAGTTTCAGCACTCATAGAGTGTCATGAAGGTCCTCGATTTGATCAGTGCTCATGAAGAGTCCCGTACGAGGAACAAACAGCCGTCTCGTTTTTCCTAGTTTTCACAGGTTATCTAACTAAAATCGGTCCGTGAAATAAGGTTTCAAGGTAAACAATTTTCACAACCATCCCTATTCATAGTGTAGTGAACGAGAACACCAGTGAGGACAACCAAATGTATTTGAACATAAAATTACAGAATCTCTTAGTAAAATCTGAGAACCATATAATAAACCCTTCATTTGCAAAATGTTAATTACTCGTCACAGATATTATTGTCCCTTCATTTCTATACCAATCATTCTCTGTTCTCATTCTTCTTTCTTCATAACCTTTTGTTACTAGACATTTTACATTCGATTGATGATGCATACTACTTATGTCTGTCGACATCAGTAGCACTCACCACAGTATCAGTAGTGATGATGATTAGAAGTAACAGAATGAAAAGTTGTAAATGAACAAATTCTGAAACTCATGATTTAAAAACGTATCTTCACTGGTATGAGTGATATTTAAACGATATTAATTAAAGTTTATAGTCAATGATCATAGTTATCTCATGGATCCAACTAGGAAGCAATCAATAACTTCATAAACTGATACCATTTCTTGGTTTGACGATCATTGGGTTTCTTTCAACCTACTTCTACATTAACCAATATCACCCTAACACATGTCTCCAAAAATATTCAACATGTAAGATCAGTGGAAATAAAAAGAATGGTTAAGTTATAAATTAGGATATCTTTTGGTACTATCAATTTAAGATCTTTGTATCCAAATGTATATTGAATACAGTGATTAGAGTTTATTTACACTTTATTTCCCTGATTGAAATCATGAGTCAGTTGAAGCTAGATCACCATGGAAAACCTAGAAGCACTGGATGGCCGTTTCGTCCTATCATGGGACTCCTCAGTAGCACGCATCTACGAACCCAACCCAAGGGATTCGAACCCAGGACCTATTGGTCTCGCGCCAGGCGCTTAACCGACTAGACCACTGAGCCGGCCGGCATCCAACGATGTTAATGTCTACTTCAACCAATCCACGAAGTTGCGCCACCGTACACCATTTTCTTCAGTGAGTTGATATCTCACAACAGACCTGGTTGAACTCCACTGATAACGGCTTCTCACTAGAACTCCAGGAGTATCTCTTGAAATCAGTCACTAGTGAGTAGATGATTAGTATCAGAAGTGGTTTTGTGGAGAATTTAGAAACTTCACTGATTGAAATCATGAGTCAATTGAAGCTAGACGAAGACAAAATTATGGTGGAACAACTTGACTTATGAACACTAACACCGTTGGAAGCCGGCTCAGTGGTCTAGTTGGTTAAGCGCCTGGCGCGAAAAAACACACACACAAAACCCCTTCAGATACACTTTATGTGCCAGAAAATCTCCCCTGTATTATGTAATATACAAGATAAAGTCGTGAATAATAGTTTGATTGTTCATTTATGCCAGTGTAATACTAGTTCCATAAAGGTTAGTCTATTCCATCGTTGTTTCTTTTTTGTTTTCGTTTCTAAATCTGATTATGTCATCCATCTGTAATCGTCCATCATTTATTTTTTCTTCTCTTATTTGGTCACTAATTAAAACAAATAAATGAAATATTGATCAATTTAGGTGAATATTTCAATAAATCATAAACATTTAATAAAATTTTGTACACCATGTCAACCATTGTATTCCAACAATAATATTGAAAGTATATATAGTTACTAATGAACAGTTTCCTTCATTGTTATATACAAGTGAGTATATATGTTAGTAGATAGTCAAAACACGTATTAGTCTACTACTTAGTTAGTTAGTTAGTTAGTTCAGTGATAAGTTTATATTATACACTTAAATGTTGTTGAATGATCACTTTGTTAAAATTGTTGCTATGATTGAATGTATAGATGTTGTGCTTGAATAAAACTAATTATGTATCGGACCCCTCAGCAGTGCGCATCCACGATCCCGCACCACGCGGGGCTCAAACCCAGGACCTACTGGCTTCGCGCGCGAGCATTGAGCCGGTGGTCTAGCTTCAACTGAATCATGATTTCAACCTGTGAAAATTTCTAAAACTCTCCACAAAACCCATTCTGATAATAATCAACTGCTCACTAGTGACTGACTTCAGAAAAAAACTCCTGCAGTTCTAGTGAGAAGCCGTTACCAGTTGAGTTCAACCGGTCTGTTGTGAGATATCAACTCACTGAAGAAAATGGTGTACGGTGGCGCAACTTCGTGGATTGGTTGAAGTTAGACATTAACACCGTTGCAATTATGTATCGATTTATATATATATATATATATATATATATATATAACATTTGGTTCCCATCCTATCGAACCACTTTCTTATGTATGAATTCAATTTGTATTTGATATCTTCTTATCTAGTTCGATTGGTATACAAATGAAGGAAAAGTACCAGTTCACTATTCTGTACTTCTAAAACAATTGTGCTTTTGAGATAACAAATGTGAACCAATTTTTCGGGATTGTCATTCAATTGTTATCGTTTATAAATGTATTAGCGAAATGTATATTCATTATGACTGATAATGTAATTTCAAACTGATCAAAAAAATCTAAGATAATTTCTTTTCATTTAAACATATTTAGGAGGTTTTGTGAAGATTATAGTCATTTTAATAGTTGAATTGATGATGGATTGATGGATTGCTGAGAATAGGATCGTAGATGAGCACTGCTGAGGAGTCCTATACTAGAACGAATTAACCGTTCATTTTTTCCAGATTTTCCATGATGATTATTTATCTCATAAATTGAACTATTAAAATATTTATTATTCATTAATTTAAAACAGTTTACAATTGTTTAATCAATTTTTCCTAATTTCAATTATCGTTCAATATTGTTTAACATTAAGACAGTTGAATTCATTTGTACTGGTTGTTAAAATCTTCCTGGTTAGTGTTTTTTTTAGCGAGTCAGTTTTCTACGGGATGGGTTCGCTAACCCCATGCCCAACCCTCCTCCTTCACCCGGGCTTGGGACCGGCAGTAGCTCCGGGAGGGACTCCAGGCGGAGTTTAAGACTATAATTGATTAGTCTCTGATTTGCTTAAGTACATCTAATGCAGATTACCAGGATATTGTCTTAAATCATAACCATTCTAAGTAGAAATGAAAGATGACTAACAGTGTAACCGATGACATACATATTTCATTCTATTTGAGACTCATCAGCCAGACGTAACTGCATCTCAGAATTGATGTCCACCTTGGGACTCACCTGAAACGACTTCATATCTTACATTCCACTGTTACTCAACATTCATCTCTGATCAATCTATGTTTGTTAATTAACATGTATAGTGTTTCAATGTGTATATTCATTCAATTCCATATTTTCTATTTCAATCATTTTAGCAACCTCAAGAATATAATAAAACTGATGACAATGTAACAGAAAATTAATCATCTTTAATTTGTATTTATGTTATACAAATGGACAATTATTCCTGGATCTAAACAAAAGCAACATGTTCTTTTAAGTAACTAATATGGCTTTCAGGTATATTCTTCTTCTTATTATTATTACTATTATCAGTGATTATATTGTCGTCGTCATCATTATCATCATCCTTATCAACAATGAATTATATTTAAAATCAATATTATTCCAGAATTTCATTAATCAATAATTGAATGAATCCTGATTAGATTGATTTCATATTTTCCTTTAATTGAAAACAACATATATATTTATATATTTAATTATCTATATAGACAAACGATTGTTTACTCTGGGACTATTCATCAGTTCTAATTGAGTTACACTAAAATCAATAAGAAATCTATTATTGATAAATTTTGTTGATGGTCAATATTTCGATTATACACACCCACACCCACACATACATACATACATACACGCATAAAAACATACACACGCAGAGATTCATAGCTTGATATACTTCAATAAGAATGTCAAATGTTCAGCTTTGTATATTGATGATAACAATAAAAGAAAGTTAATCATTTTTCTTTTCTTTTTTATAATTGTGCACAGTTTGTATTGTTTGTTGTTGTATGGTAAGAAATTAGATTCATTAAGGCCTTTGTGTATTGTTTCTGAAATCTTTTATAAATCTTTGATAGTTTGTTCATTTATCATAATAGATTTGTATTAATTCCATTTTCATTATATAGAATGTCCAGAGATGGGTGATCATATAATATGATATGAATAGGGGTTAGTAAAAGGGAAAGAAAGTTGCAGACAATAAGATTGAGTATGAAAATTAATATCAGAAGGGATTTTGTGAAGATTGTAGTCATTTCAATTGAAGCTAGACCACCATGATCTCAACTATTTGAATTATTACAATCTTCACAAAACCCCCTTTTGATACTAATCAACATATGGTCATTAGTGACTGGCATCAAGATGTATATCCTGGAGTTCTAGTGAGAAGTAGTGACAAGTAGAGTTCAACAGGGTCGGTTGTGAGATAGGAACTCAATGACGACAATGGTGAATTAGTTGAAATTAGACATTAACACCGTTGGATGAAGGTCAGCTCAGTTGTGTAGAGGTTAAGCTCTCGTGCAAAAGACTAATAGAACGTTGGTTCGAATCCCGCGGGCGAGATCGTGTATGTGCACTGTTGAGGAGTCCCACAATAGGACGAATCGGCCGTCCAGTGTTTCCAGGTTTTCCATGGTGGTCTAGCTTCAATTGACTTGTAATCTTAATCATTGAAATTATAATAATTAATGTTAAACACAGTAGTTAGGCCTACTATGTATATTACTTACTTACTTGGGCCTGTTACCCCCAATAGAGCATAGGCCGCCGACAAGCAATCTCCAACCCACTCTGTCCTGGGTCATCCTATATAGTCCCTTCCAACCGTTGTTCATTCTTCTCGTGTCTATCTTCCTTTCTCGGCGTAATGTGTTCTTTGGTCTTCCTCGCCTCCTTTAGCCTTCAAAATTCAATGTGAGGGCTTGCCTTGTGCGCAGTTGGGTGCTTTCCTCAATGTGTGTCCTATCCACATCCAGCGCTTCTTCCTGATTTCTTCCTTCTCTGGCATCTGATTTGTTTTCTCCCATAGTGGGTTGTTGCTAATAGTGTCTGGTCAACGGAACCGAACTATTTTACGTAGACAGCTGTTAATGAACACCTGTTTCTTCTGGATGATGACTTTCGTGGTTCTTCAGGTTTCCTCCCCATACAGTAGAACCGTCTTGACATTTGTATTGAAAATCCTGACCTTAGTGTTGGTTGACAGTTGATTTGAGTTCCAGGTGTTCTTCAGTTGTAAATATGCTGCTCTTCCTTTTCCGATCCATGGCTTCACATCTGTATCAGATCCACCCTGTTCATCAATGATACTGCCCAAATATGTAAACGTTTTCACATCTTCCAAATCTTCTTCGTCAATTAGGCTGCGTTGTATCAGAGAATCTTGCTTTTCCCTTTGTGTATATTGAGACCTGTTGCTGAGGCTGCTGTTACACTGGTCTTCTCCTGCATTTGTTGTTGCGATTGCGATAGGGAGGCTAGATCATCTGCGAAGTCTAGATCGTCAAGCTGCATCCTAGCTGTCCACTGTATCCCGCGTTTCCCTTCAGATGTTGACGTCTTCATGATCCAGTCGATCACCAGGAGAACGAGAAAGGGTGAGAGTAACGAACCTTGCCTGACATCGGTCTTTACCTCGAACGGGTATGTCAACTGTCCTCCATGCACGATTTTGCAGTTTATTCCATCATAGGAATTCCGTATGATATTGACTATCTTCTTAGGCACGCCGTAGTATCGAAGAAGATTCCATAGTGTTCTTCTGTTCACGCTATCAAATGCTTTTTCGTAGTCAATGAAGTTGAAGTAGAGTGATGAATTTCATTCAGTTGATTGTTCCACAATGATCGTAGAGCAATAAATATATATATATATATATTCATGGCTTTAAACTGGGATTTATTTTTATTCAGCGTAGTGAAATGAACATTAAGCTATTCCAAATAAGAACTTTCGTCTAAATTTGATTGAATAGTTTTACAGTATTTGGGCGCCGAGTTGATGTGTGACATTAAAGAGGAAGAATGTATTTGTAGAATCTCAGCGTGTACACAATAATGTGAATACCTACTTTAAACATTGTTAACATTGGTTGGATGACCTATTCAGTATACAGTTAACTGGAGAACCATATACCTATTTATATTCGATAATTTTGATGTTTGATTACATTTCCTTGAAAAAGATTGGGCCAGATTGTCAGGCGAAACGTCGAATTTACTTCAAATTCATTCGCTAAGATTTTACAAATACATTCTTGCTCTTTAATTAAGATATTCTGTTGATACTCGTTTTATTACTTGGCATAGTTACCATTCGAAATTCTTAAAAGTCAAGAATTCCACTGAATCTATTTAATTAATACTAAACAACATGTTTATTTGCTTAACACTTCATCTACATCCTGAGAAAATCTTTTTAAAATTAGGCGGTATTTCGAGTTTAAAAGTCAAATAATATATGACATCGAGAAAGTAATTATGAGATTAATGCTTCAAGCATTTGGTATACAAGAAATATCAATAAATTACATTGATTTATTGTTGATTAGGATCTAAATGTTATCAACTAATTAAATAAGGTGAATCTCATTGATGATCAGAATGGGGTTGAATTCATGAGTCGATTAAAGCTAGATCATCATGGAAAACCTGGAAACAATGGACGGCTGTTTCGTCCTAGTATAGGACTCCTCTCCAGTGTGCATCCATGATACCGCACAAAGGATTCGAAACCACGACCTTCATTCTTGTGAACGAACGCCTAATCTTTAGACCGCTGAGTCGACGATCGATGGTATTAGTGTCTAACTTCCATCGATCCATTCATCCACTGTCTGGGGTAGATACGTGTCTCTACATGATACGGGATGGACTCCACTGGTCATGGCTTCTCACTAGAACTCTATTTATGTAGAACTGATCAATTCTAATGAACAATGAAATCTTACTTAGATCACTTCAATCAGTGTTGATATTCACATTTAGATCCTTTTCAGAAATAACATCAAACATTCATCATATTCCGATTTTCTCATTTTATTAAACAGAAAAACTCATCACATTGGTTTCTATAAACAAATAAACTTTCAGTCAGTCAGCTAAAACTTAAGACCAGGCACATATATGCATTGGTCCAAGTTGCCATACCGCATTAGCGCAACAAGATGAACACCGGATTCATATGAGTACTTAAGTCAATGGTGGTAATATATAAAAGAAAGATAGCATATAAGGACATAGTACAGGAAGAAAGAATTAGTTCGTAGAAAGAAAGATATGAAGCGATTTCAATCTGTTAGTTTAAGGGAAGATAGAGAGTGTATACACCAACGCCATTGTGATCGATTCTGAGCCATGTCACACACAGTCTACAACCATTGGTTACGATAGTCACGCGGACCTCAACCAAGTAGTCTGCATCTACCAACATGGCTCAGACTAGAAGTTAGTGACTTCAAGCACTGATGTCACATTTTGTTTTGGTCGCCCCTAACTTTCTCCCATCCATCCTAAACACCGGTTAGCATTGCACGTCGTGGTAATCGGAGTACAGGCATATGCAACACGTGGCCCAACCATCTCAGTCGATGAAGATTCACAACCACGTCAGCTGATTTACCATCATTCCTTAATACCCGGCGTCTAACCTCACTCTCACTTACCTGGTGATTCCAGCAGATGCGAGCAATATTTCTAAGACATTTGTGGTCAAATACATGTAACTTACGAGTATACCAAATAAAACATATGAATTAACTTTGATGGACATTGTAGTTTGTTTTTATTGAGAAGAGGAATACTTACTCTTTGATAGACCAGTATAAATACATTAAATTAGTACATCATATTTCAATTGTTTTTAACTGTTCTTATAAAAAAAACATAAGATGGATGCACACTACTCATAATTAACAATAGCCCTGTATGTAGATGTATATAAATATTATACCAACATACTTTATAGAAACTTTAATGATTCTCAAATGATAACAATACAATGGTTAACATTGTTTCTTCTATATACAACATGTTATTCATATTACATTAGGTGAAAAAAGAAATAATTTTCATGTAGTTCCATTATATACTATTTGTATTAGTTACTGTGGAGAAAATATTGTCAATAGAATGAGAAAACTACACGTCACTATGGTAACGTCAGCTGTGTGATGAACAAAATGATTAGATGATTATGTTAGTTATGTTTTTATTCGACCTTATGAAATTAATTTAGTTTTATGAATTACACTAGTTGAAATCATGAGTCAATTGAAACTAGACTACCATGGAAAACCTGGAAGCATTGAAAGGCTATTCCGTCCTAATATGGGACTCCTCAGTGGTGCGCATTCAATTGACTCATGATTGAAACTAGTGAAATCTAT